TATTTTTTCGGATTTAAATGAGACTTGTAAAGGGCCCGAAACGTTGGTTTGTTTAAAAAAATAAATATACGCGATTTAAATCCGGAAAAATAGTTTCATTTCCTAAGTTACTTCATATATTACATATGTAAGAAATGTTCACCTGTTCCTTAATCTTCTCAAGCAACTCTTCATAGCGATCCTCATCCTGCCCGCACTTGACGCACATGACATCAGTCTGTTCGAGTTTTTCACTCCTCAAGGACTCTAACTCGCCTAGCAACACTCGCATCTTGCTATCTCTGTCGTCGATTGTTCTTTTCATATTTTCTAACTGCTCTAATATTTCAGTTTCGTAAGTAGTCTTTTGTTCAATTTGATTTTCTAAATTGTTAATAATGTCACGTAGTAGGGATATTTTCTCATCTTTGGATTTCAGTTCTTCGTCGGTTGAAGCTTTTCGTTCTTCGAGCTCGGTGATTATTTGGTTCATTTCGCGAGTTTGTGCTTCTAATTGCTCCACCTAGAGGACAAATAGGTGATTTATGAACTCACACTTTCCACTATTAAGTTTGCTAACTAATTCCACATCGCAGTACCAAGTGGCACCTTGAGGATTGTAGGTACACTGTGTAAGGTTTACTTAACCTTACTTATACGAAAATGCATCAGCTTGTTACTTAAATACGTGAACATATTGATAGTGCGATCTAGAAACCACGTAATGCCATCTAGCGGCATTCATGCTACACTAAACAGTAAAATCGATTCTTTACTTTCTTTACATTGAACACAATATTAACACTTGCTATTTTGTAATCTTCAAGTTCTCATTTTTATCCTGGTTATAAAATGTTTATAAATATTCGAACATTTCATCAATAGATGTGGCAATTTTAAGCAAAAGCACACCTTAAAATCTTTATGATGAGGTTGATTTTTATCAAATGTTTAGATATGTTCACACGCTTTAAACTTGTAACTTGTACTTTATCAATGTTATGTACTGTTGGGTAATTTTCCGAAAATAATAAGAAGGCTCATATTATGTTCTACGTTTAGAAATATCATACTATATATTATACTATATATATCACTACGTTTAGAATACATAATATTGAAGTTTGATTGCGTGAATTATAAAATAAGCTTGTATAGCTTGTATATAAAAGTCACTTAAGGGAAAAACGAAATTTAAAATCATTTCACAACAGAGGAAAAAAAACTTTTATGATGGCTTCATTGTTTTCGTTCAGTAACTTCAACTTTTGACAGGTGTCAACGTCAAATGTACAAAATTAAAGAAAAAATATTATTTTTCCGAAAAATACGGTTTTTTTTTCAAAATGAACTTTTTTCCATTACTAATGATGAAAGAAAAGAATAACTTTGTTCTAGTCTATTGCAAAAGTTACTGAAAGGAAAAGGAGCAAAAGAATAAAAGCAAAATACCGACACTCGTAGGTCTTTTTCTTTATTTTGTGACTAATTTTGTAATGAAATAATTAAAGCTTTGACTGATACGCTTACTGCATAATCTAAAAAACAGGCCCGTATTGAGAAACAGCGATATTTATTATTAAAGTCAGTTGACATTATATAGCGCCTAAGACGTATCATTCAATCGACACGAGTACACTTGTTTGCGGTCAAATGTCGCTTGTATCAAGGCCCTCATGTGTATTATGTACCAAAAGTACAAACAAAACCCAACAACTACTCTAGTTACGTAAACAACAAGCTGCAAACTCACCTGTCTGCGATGCGTGCAAGGGTTGCAGCGAGCGCGGCGCAGGCAGTGCATCTGTACATGTACACGCACCCCACCACACCGAGGTTAGTCTAACTCTACGACCAACAGGCACTTGGCGATAAATATACTTCAATTAAAAAGGATTTTTTTGTAACCGTTTCTTGACTACTCCATTCAGACATTCGATTATTGCCGATCAGAAGTAGATAATAATCGTTATGTGAGGGGTGACTTCCGCAGAAGTTACCCGATTGTTTTATTACGGATTAATTTTAGTCAGTCTCGCTAACAACTTGAAGCAGGTGGACTTCTGTGGCGTCACCACAACAAATAGACTCGATTCGGCACGTATCGTCCGTCGGTTCTTGAGCCTGAGCCCGTGATCTCGCCCGACTTAGCAATTGCCGAGGAATACCGCATGTCCATTTTAGTTAGAAAAAATTCGAAATATATATTTTAGGCCATGGAAGAGGTACACGACGACGTTAGCAGATCGACATGAACGACACATCGATATAAACGCCTATAAATTCCAAGTGTAGCGATGCAGTCGCGAGCTTGTATCGCGTTTGCATCGCTACTAAACATCGCCATGTGTAACCGCCCTAAAAACAGATACCAAGTAATAGTAATTATTTCTTTAAAAAAATGCAATAATGAATATTAACATTCATGGCTCCCGGTTGTGAAAACGAACACCAGACCGACTATGAAGTAATTACAATATAACCAATATCTGAAAATTCATAGAAAAGTCATTTAAGGAACGTCTTTAGTTTACTTTTCTGATTATTATTATTATTATATAATTCGCGTTATCAAATTGACAATATGCCTTTAATAGGACTGTACGCATAATTTTGGCTGGCGACCCGTTTCCAAAAATAAATGAGGTTATTATGACAATAATCGGATGTCGAATGCTGGGAGCAGTAAAGAACCGCCTAAACGCGAATCAATTTTCGACCGAGTGCCAACTACACCCAGTTATTAATTATCTACGTTAAAGAAAAATAGCTCTAAATATTCTTCTTTTACGACGTATTTATTGCCAAGCAACAATGGAGGCATGACAACGACACACTCGAGTCAAGTTATCAAGCAGTGAATTTATCAAGTGTGCAGTCGACAACATTAGAAAAAAATTGCAAGCTTATTCATTAGTTTCATACTACATACCAGAGTTAAATCAAATAGAAATAATTACGTAAATTAATGTGCAAGAAAAGACAATCACAGCGTGGTGCAAACATCACAGGAAGAATTTTTTATAGAATTCATAAAATTCACACCCCTAGAAATAAATGGAGAAATTCGAAAAGTAAAAAATCTGCAAAATAAAACCAATATCGCTGCCTTTATACAATAATGTTATGTTATAATGAATTACAGAATACTATCGAAGAATATGTATAATTATTCTCGCTATTGCGTTATTGTATAAAGGCATCGTATACGGATTTACAGATCAAATAGAATATTGTCATAATTAGCATCAACCAAATGGCATATGGTTGGTACTGCGCGATGTGTTTTTTTTTTGCAGTTTTATTACAATATGTAATTTGAATTATTAAAATTACTTTTTCAAATTACGTCAATTTATTTTTGAAGGTGTGATTTATAGCTTACACAATCACTATACAATGATGCAAGTAAGCTAGGCAGCGTCAAGTGTTCTTCAAAGAGGATGGTTTAGAGTCTCAAAGAACTTTAAGATGCTCACTAAAGAAACTCATGTTGATATTTTATAGACACGACGTAGAAACTGATAACTAGATTATGATTTATCACTTTAAATATAATAATTTCAAAATTACATGGTCACTTTTCGGACAAAGTCCATGTGAAGTTTTCAAGACAATTCAAAATTTTGAAGAAACCTTAAGATAAATTTATTAAAAAGTTTTATCTGCATTATTTAGATCAATATCAAAGTACGAAATAAAAAGAATAAAGGCGGAAACATTATCGAACTATTGCCGTCTCGCTCACACACCAGCGAGCACGCCAACGCCAAAAACCAATAACAATAGAGCTATTCACTATTATCGTATTTCTTTGATGTTCTCGTATGGAACGGTTAAACGGAAGGGTAATGCATTTTTCTTTGGTTTTTGTGTATGTAAAAACCTACCTCGCTAAGTATTCTAGCGTTATTCTGCAATCTCGTGGAGAGTCGTGCATTTTCGTCGCGCAGTTCGGTAAGTCTTCGGGCGAACTCGTCCCTTTCCGTCTCGCGTTCGGCCGCTTGCTCCTCGACGAACTGACGCGTGGAGCGAAGTTGGCGGTTAGCCGCCTCGAGCTGGTTCAAGTTGGAAGTGTATTTACATGGAGATATTGAAAAGCAAGTCATGCAAATATTAGGTACTACAAGTAACATTTACTATTATATTGCTCAAGAATACCTACATTATCATACTGATCTGATTAACAGCAGCTGATTGGCCAATTTTAAATTCGTATTGTATTTCACAATTGATTAAAGCCATGTAATTGGTCTTTTTGAATTTCTTTTTCTGCATTTACTTGCAGCGCGAATAAATTAGGAACAAAAAATAAAGCCGTTGAACTAAATTTTTAATCTTTGATATAATGTTCGAATTTATTTGATGGCCATCCAAGCACATTGTGAAACGTAACTTTAACCCAGTTAAGTAATAACTAAGATGGATCGGCTGGAAATGGTTGAAACAGTGTCATGATTACATATTTTTGAACACAACACAAGGTACTTGGTTTTGAAATATAACAATTATACATATTCGAAAATGTGTGAACGTTTACATTTTATTGCACGCGACTATACAATGGGTACCAAAGCAACAGATCATCCAGACCAGAACGAATTTTAAAAAATCATTATCCAAATTGGTCCTACCGGAAATAGAACCCAGGACCTTCTCGTCCAGTCAATCGCAAACCATTAGGCACACAAAGAGTTCTATCATTTTCATTGACATTTCATATCAATTTTATAAACAGAAGGCTAAAGACCCTTTTGCCAAAACCTGAATCAGGAAGTTTAGTTCACAATCAGTCCAGATATTGCGGTTGAATGTACAAAAAGCCTTAAACTATTACACAAATACAATGAAAGTTAAAATACCGATTATTGAATGCAAGTCAAAACTAACAAAAAAGTATAGTAAAAAAATACTTAACAAATATTCAAAATGGTCGCCAAACAATTAACATCGCGTAAAAGCCATGCGTCGATGTCAAAATCAAATTGCTACAGGCAATGGCACTTCTTTTACAGAGATTCAAATGCTATGACTCTTGCGTTAAGACGGTTCAAAGTGCAAAGCTGTGCTGTTGACTGTACGTAGTATACAGAAACGTGACAATTATATACTTAATAGTTTTGGCGTCCTAGCGTTTACCTTGTCGCAGCAAATCTTATGTACAGGCGAGTCTGACATCCTTTGTAGCTGCGTGCGGTGCGGTGCAACAATACATATCATATTACGAGATGTAGTGAATAAACATTGAACATTGGGAAAAGCAGGAAATTACGAAATATTTCTGAACATTGTTGCCTCTTCTATAATTATCGTATTAATGGCTGATGCATTTATGATAATTCTTCAAACGATTTCAGGATTTCACCAGTAAAAGTTTACCCGAATTTACGACAACTGCATATGTAACTGAATAATAGTTATTTCGTTGAACATCATAATGTTTTTAATACAATGATAATACTTTTTTTTTGGAAGCATTAGAGCTCCTTGTGAAAGAGTTCGTCCAGGATAGCACTACCACCTTACCTATTTCTGCCGCCAAGCAGTAATGTGAGCATTACTGCGTTCCGGTTTGGAAGGATAAGGGTGCTGGTGAATTACAGGCACATTGGATTTGTCAACGTATGTCTCAGGGTGACGGGCGCAGTGGCACTGCCCCTAAGATCTTTGCGCTTTAAAGCTCTGACTGGCACTGCAACTGTTATGGACAGGCGTGTCGCTTACCACCAGGCCCTTGATTTGTTCGTCCAGTCACTTGGTATCATTAAAAAAGTCGAGGGAATTTTTCACTGTGTTTACTAGATCTTAGTATCAATAATATATAACCTCTGACGACCTTCGTGGTCGAGTGTCGCCATTTCTGAAGTTCCGGGTTCGATCCCTGGCGGAGTCAATGTGGAAAGACGAAGATGTCTATATTGAGCCGGAACCGGGTGTTTGCGGTACCGTCGTTGTTTCTGATTTCCATAACACAAGTCCTGTAGTTATTAATATAGGATCAGAGGAATGTAGTGTGTGAATTTAATGTTATCAATACTTCTGAAGTCAAAAATTGACTAATAAACTTTTGTAATTAAAATTTATAGTTCGGAAATATTTGTGGTTTCAGAGTTTTCACTATATTCAATGTCTATTTACTATATCTGTATGTAAATATATTACATGGATTATATACTCCCGTCATCATAAGCTACAAATACATAAATGATACATAAATGTGATATAATATATCTCAATTGATTACTAGTTGTTTACTTCTTTAATGTTTATGTTGTGACTATTTCTAGCGAACAGGTTTTGTTTATAAATACGTCAGTACGAGTGCATTATGTAGGTGAATGATGTTTTAATCTAGTTCACTGTTGGATACAAATTTCTCTTTTCGGTTGCATATAAAGATGTTTCGTTCGTAATAGACTTAAACCGCAAGGGGGATCACTGAGGAGTCCTCGAAGAATGAAGAGAAGGCGAACCAACCTGCTGCTGCAAGTCGTCCCGCTCGCGCTGCAGGAGATCCAGGTCCTGGGCCAGCGAGGCCAGCGGCGCGCGCGGCGACGCGCCCAGGTCCAGCGACGAGCTGGGCGCCTCGCAGCGCGGCCGGGGACTGGCACGCACCGGCAGCGACAGCGGGGCCGTGCCGTACCTGGGCGCGACGGCAGAACTCAAGTAAGGCTGGTCTGTTTGTAGTCTGATCTGGGCTTTGCTTTATTTATTTCAGATGCCGGGAAGTGACGGCTGAGGAACAGGACTTGTATCATACGAGTCATGCAATCCCCACTCCCGCCGAGGTACATACAGTACTTGTCTCAAACAATGCTAGATAATAATAAAACACTAAAGTATGAAAGAGAATGTATAATTCAAAAAGTAAGCAAAATTTCCATGAACACGAAACGAACTTCTAAGTAATTTCAATAAAAATCATGTGGACAATTATGGACATATCAATGTCCGTAATTGCGAGAATTAAAGAATGCAAGTGAACAGTTCGCTGCATGACAGCTTTATTTACATAATATTCATGTAAGATTATTTTTATTTACGTAAGATTGATAGCCCAGTAGCATACACTATATTTTGTATTGTAACTCCGTCACGAGATGCGTATTGCTTTATTAGATTAGAATTAAGGTCGCGATTTATTTTGATATTTATATACCGAATATAGGACAATAAACATGTCTCTATTTAACATTTCACGCTATCACCTAGGTCCATGCTAATAATATGAGAGCCTGGAAGAAAAACCTTCTTATTGTATCGACGGCAGACGCTCTAATGCTTGCCAAAGTACTCGTCGAGTGTTGGTCAGACCTACAACAGATATGGCTCCCAACTTTTATAAAACATTTGTAGTATCCAACCTAACACTTGAACATTATCTTTACAGGATATCATGAATTATCCCTCTCGGAATTGGTGTTTCCTTTTATCTACCACTTACCCCTCGGCGATCAAATCGCATGAATGTCCCCGGTCAGCGCAAGTCATGAACTGAGCAATCTTAATCATAGCGGCATCCAGATCCGACCGGAGCAGGTTCTCACGCTGCAGGCACTCCGCCATCGCTTCCTCCATGTTCTGAAAGAAAATTTTAACGTTTTCCGTGAGATTCTGAAAGAGATTGATTAATTCTGAAAGATATTCTGCCTGCCCGTTTTATATTATATTTTGTCTTTTGTTTGTTTTTGTATCTGTTCTTGCGTGCATAAAAAGCGTTGCAAAAAATAAATAATAGTATTTTATGCAATCATTGCACAATGGGGATACGTAAAGTCGAGTACACCTCGTCGAGATCTATTATTATGTGATGATTGCAAAGAAACATAATCAATATTTAATAGTACATTGTGCATTAAGGACGTTGAGGAGGAGGTAAATAAGAAATTACTAACGAAGGTCTCCTAGAAGCCGGAAACCACAGGCTAAGGGCTTAATAACTTGAGTTTTTGTATCTTTTTACTGTCAATGATATATACAATGTTTTTCATCACATTTGCGAGGAAATAAATACAATCTAAATATGGTTCACAACACAATAAATGAAATTTGCAAATGGCGGGCTTTTTAAATTTTTCCATAGATAATACAACTCGAACAAAGAAAAAAGTAAACGCGCATACAGCCATGATGAATTGTAAAAAAATTGCAAAATTTTTACACAGAACATAATTAAAATAAAAAATTCTTAATAATAAATATTTAAATAGTATGTGGCTGAACTGCAATTAAATTTCTATTTATGTAATACTTTAAGCGAATGTTTTAAGTTTGAACTTAAGTAACCTCCTTGTTTGAACTTAAACCTAACCTATGCAAGAAGTACGACGTGCTACAAATAAAAAAAACTCCGTACCGACCATGGCTGTAATGGAAAGAAAAAAGCCCGAGAATTTTATTTGGGGCATTATAGTCAAGTTAGCCACCATGCAATCACTATTTACGAGCAAGTCTGATGAAAAGATTATTTGTTAACAAACCATGACAACAAACTCAAACGAAATATAATTTTGGTTCAGAACTAAAAAGAGCAGCCTTGTGTTACGGTTTATGTAATCATAATTGAAAGATTAAAGAACAGGAGTAGACAAAAAAAAACATTTAAATACCTTCCTATGCATCTGGCAGTTATTGCAGGACTTCTGTCGGTCATCGAAGTCGTCCACTAGTTCCGTGATTTGCACTTGAGGAACGTCCTCTGCCTTAGGGTCTTGGATGCGTTCTAAATTGCGAAGATTTAATTAATTATAACACCTTTATAGACTCGTTTAATACCTATTATTTTAGATGTTGATTCCAAACATTCATACGAAGAATACTTATGCCATTAGGACTCCTCACAAAACATAAACCAAATATCTGTTATTACGCTGTAATAGGTAGCCCACTGCGAAAACGTTGCTTCTGAATTGAGAGTAGGATAGTTTACATCCCTGTAACAGGTACGACTTAGTACCTAGGACTTTAATTTCTAAGTTACCTACATTTGTGAATGTCTAGTAAGAATATCCCCCACTAACGACGAACTTTCACAAGGAGCTCTACTGCTACTAAAGGGTTGGTGTTGACGACGATGATGGTAAGGTCGTATATAGGGGTTTTACGAGGTTCTTATTGACATCCTTAAAATCGAAATTATTTTATCGAGTTCTTGGGTTTTCGCAATTGCTAAACATTTGAAATGTCAAGATTTTCGACTTTAAATTGCGTATATTTGTTATTTTCAAACAAACCAACAATTCGAACACTTTACAGGTCTCACAATAAAAAACAAATATACGCGATTTACATCCGAAAAAATAGTTTCATTTGCAAATATGTTTTTAACAATATGCTGAATGACTAAATAGTAAATTAACATCACTTACTAGTAGAGACCTTGGCAGATAAATCCAACAACTCCTGAGCCTCATTCCGTAACCTCTTCAAAGAGTGCTCCAGCTCCCTCTTAATATCGACGCTGAGGTCCCTTTGCTCCTGCAGGAAGGCCACGAGCCCCTCCTCGTCGAGGTCTGTGAGGATCGAGTGGAGATCTGGTGCGAAATGAACGTGCTTGCTGCGGGCTACTGAACTGGAGTTCAACTCGATGGAAAGGTTCGGGGTTGAGGGGCGAGACTCTTCTTCTATTATTGTGCTGCTGGAAGGCATAAAAAACATTGAAACAATTATTTAAAGAAGTAATTGTTGTCTTACAGTTAAACCAGTATGGTAACTCCATAAAAATGTAGCAGCGCGATTTGTTTGTTGCAAATATACATATTCACATAATCTCACGATGCACTAGCGTTGCATAACACTGGTGATCCCAACGCGCCTTTCATTATTTTATTTAAAAAAATGTGTGCGAACGTACACGGCGCGCGGCAGTTGCGCACACCCACAAGACGCGTTGTTACTTTGTACGGAGTTACCATACCTCTTTTATTTTACTCGGGTTAAACAGTAAGAATTTAAGATATTATCACTTAGCATATAACGCATAATGTAACTACAGTTATCTAATAATAGGTGTAACAGAAGTAGCGAATCCATTTTACAACAATTTCTTTTTCACCTCGCTAGCTTGGAAAGGCTTTTTTTCTCCTTAGAAATCTACGTGCAAAAGCGTGTATTGCACGCTAGCGGGGAAAAGGTTGATGATGGACTGTGTACACCTAACTTTTTCTTTCGATGAAAAAAAAAGATAATGACACTCGTTCTACTGCGCGATTTGTAATATAAATTCGTTTGTATATTAGCCCTTGACACCATATGTAAGAAATAGGTATAAGCAATTGAAATGTTTAAATTTTTTATTACTTGAATGAAATGTATTTAGTAATTTATTAATTTTGATAATGATGTGATTTGACATTATCGATTTGGATATATATCTGTAATGATAAACGTGTTTGCACAATGTAACATAATGAATAAATAAATAAATCAATATTTTATTCTTATTACTGTTGACATTAATTTGACAATGAGAACTAATCGTGTTCATTAAATTATTTTAATTCGTCGAAGAACTGAAATAATTTTAATTATCACTTAATTACACAAAATAAAAGTAAGTCGTTGCAAGTCCCATGATCAGAGCTGAAAATAAAAAAAAATAGTCTCAATTTCGACACAATCATAGTTATTTTTAATTACTTAATGTACCAATATTTTTTTCTACAAACTACCCGCAGTTTAGGCTTACTATTCTGCATAATAAGCTTTAAAATCAAACACGATGCGATGAAAATACACATCTGTGCATCGCGTAGACGCGTCAATTAATATTCGCAATGGATTCTGCAGAAAGATGTAGTAATAATAACCATAAAGACCGCGACTGTTGGCTCTCGGCCAGGTTTGAACGCAGGATCAGCGGCAGGACTATCACGAGTCGTATGACTATTGCAAAATTGACGTTCACTTATCGGATAAAAGTGACATCTGTCAACTCGTAGCAAAATAGTGAAAACAAATGTTGTCACTCGCGCCATCTGTCAACACCTTATCGTATCAATAGTTTACAGGCAACGTAAATGCCTGCGCAAACTGGCAGGCAGCAAGACAGACGTCATTAAATGTATCAATGTATATTTTATTCTATTACAATTTAAATAAGGTGTAAATTTCAATGGTCTGAAACGCAGAGAGAAATGCGCTGCGATCCTTCGAGGTCGGTCCCAGAGCATTGAAATTAATACTTTATTTCAATTGTAGTAGCAAAAAATATGCATCGATAAATTTAATATTCTCTACCTCCCCGACAATTGATTTTTAAAACACTACTCCTGAATGCAACTGGTGAGGTGACGGATGGTGGTGGGGTAACAATATGGCCAAAAAAATATTTGAACAATGAATAGCGATTGACAGGACGAAGGGGCATTACTTTATTGGCTGCTAAAAACTACTGGTGAAAACGGTATCAAAGGGTGTGTTAATTGATTACTGAAGTGTAGGTATAATTTATTACAAGATTTATAATATTTATAATTTATAAATTATTCTAAAAATGGTTTCTTTAGGCGCTCTCTGGATTTTTATAACAAAAACTTAAATAATATTGATATTTTTGGGTTAACCTTACAAAGTTTTAAGAAGAAAGTAAGAGAAGTAGTTTTTTAAGTTTATTAGTTTACCTATTTATTGTTAATTTAAAAAAAAAATTATAAGCATTTTTATTTATCAGGTATTGTTATTTTATGATATGTTATTAATAATTCTTATGTTTTGTAGTTGAACCGTATTTGCTCACTATTTCTTGTTTATATTTGTGGAACTCTAGGTCTAATTATTTTAATCAATGTTTTAGTAGAACCCCTGTTTTATGACTGTTTGTTTCCCTGAATAAATAAAAAAAAAAAGAAAAAAAAAAGATATGTATCATGGATATTAGAGGTGTCAATAAATAATAGTTTTCTAAGTATAAATCACATAGAAGCGGTGGTAGCCTAGTTAAAGAAAGGTTGCTTCTCAATTTAGAGGTAGACGGTCCCAATTTCCATGGCAGTATGGTTTCCTACATTTGTGAATATAATACCTCTCGATATAACGATGAGGTTTACAATCCTTGGCAAACGTGAAAAGTCTACAACCCGCAAGGTATTCTTAACTAAACTTGTCCACTAGGATTGCTACTATAAAAGAACTACTTTTGTAGTTGGAGCTAGTTTTGTCCTGCAGTGGAACTACGTATAAGGTCCAGCAAAAAAGGTAAACCGTATCGGGTCTCCGACAACAAGCCTATTTCGTGTGGAAAATCTTCTAATTTAAACTTTCAACAACAGCAGACAACTCCATAAATCAGTCTAATATGTTATACTGAATTTTATAACTTCCTAAATCCACTCTCTATATTTCAGGAGTATATTAATCTAATCGCACCCCAGAGCCGCAATTAGGCATTCTAAATCTGGATACTTAGTACGTGGTTGACCACGTACTAAGTTTAGCCAATCTAAAGACAGAGATTCTTCGTAATTTCCGTTCATGACTAACGCTGTTCGTCTACGCTCGAGTTTAAGAATTTTGAAATGTTTGAATTAACCGTTGAATTAACTGTGTACCGTCTAGGCTCTCGGGTATCTCTCAGAGAAAAGTTTAA